AAATAAATTCAATAAATAAATTAAACATATATTTTATCACATTCTAATTATCATTAAAATATTAAATAAGAAAAATTTTTTGATATATATATTAGCAACTTTAAAAATTTTCTGTTGGTTTCAACAACTGATTTGAATGAGGTCGATTGAAAAATATAAAAAATTTTAGGAAAAAACCTTTAAAATTACAAATAAATTATTATTAGTCGATGGTTAATAATATTTAAAGAAAAACTTACTCCTTCTAGCTTCGGCAACCTTTTCTGCTGCTCTTTTTTCAGCTGCCAAAAGCTGTTGAATTCCTTGAGTTTGACTTGCCATTTTAATTCTTATCGATCTCGTGACAGTAACAAGCAGACGTCAGGCACGTGACGGTACCAACTTAGGAAAATAAATAATTTAATGAAATCAAGTCATAGAGTAAAAATTGCGGGAAATTACGTTATTAATTAATTCGTAAATTAACTTTAATTATTTTTCATATTAAAAGTTTTTTTTAAATATTATTTTCATTATATTTTACAAAATAAAAGTTTTATTAAGTTGCTCAATAAGTACTGACAAAGTTTGTAATAATTTTTAACAGAGTTTACTTTCCTTTAGTTTTTCCTATGGTGATAATATACATCTATCGATTTAACAAGTTTTACAATTTTATTTAAATACTTGAAATTTTTTTTTAAAAAAAAAATGGTGAAACTGTGTGCTAAATACTTAATACGTAAATATAAAACAAATAAATGTCATTTGAATAGTAAGAAAAAAAACAAGGATACCGATACACAATTTTTAAAAACGTTTACTCATTTGCAATTACAAAATCAATACATTGAATGCATCGTAAGTTTAATAAAAAATTGTAAATTTTTGTAATTAAAATAAAAAAAAATGGATAATTCTTTATTTTAAACTCGATTATAACAATTAATTTTTTTGCATTATGTTTTCAGTTACAAATCGACAATTGCTTTAACATCAGAGTTTTGTATTTACATCAAAATTTAATCAGAACAATTGAAAATATGGGAAATTTTCCTAATTTAACTCATTTGTACCTACAAAGAAATTATATAAACAAATTAGAAAATTTAAACGTTTTAAAAAAATTAAAAAAAATATATTTAGGTTTTAATTATATTCAAGTTTTAGAAGGAATGGAAAATTTAAAAGAAATCAAAGAGATTCATATTGAATGTCAAAATTTAAATGCAGGGGATACAATATATTTTGAACCACTTTCTATAATTAATTTAGGGGTAATCAAATTTAATTATTAAATTTAAAAAAAAATATATAAAAATATAACCGTCATTTTTTTTTTAATTTAGGAAACTCTGCAAGTTTTAAATATTTCAAACAATTATTTAACATCAATACACGGCCTTCAAAATTTATTAAGCTTGAAAATTTTAGATGCGAGTAACAATTATTTATTCGATTTGAACGAAGTTGCAAATGTTGTATCTAATTGGCTTTATCTTCAAGAACTTAATTTAATTGGTAACGAAATTACAAGATGTAGATATTATAAAGATTCAATAATATTTGCATCCAATAGTTTGGGTAATTTTTTCAAAATTCTATTCGATTATCTGTAAATATTTACAACATAATTAATATCAATTTAATTATTTTAAAGAAATTTTGGATAAAGAATCCATACATCCGAATACAAAGATATATATAAAAAATTTAGGTAGAAGAAAACATGAGCTGTACTTGAAAAAGTTAAAAAAAACGGAGAAAGATTCGGAAAAAAAGAAAATTATAAAATTTCAAGATGTCGACGTTGAAGAAAATAAATTAGATTTTGATCCATTTCCATTACAAGGCCCAGTTTTCTTTCATCCTCCGTGGAAACTTCGTAAGTTTTTCCTATTTTTCCTATCTTCGTAATAAGTTTTCAAACTATAACATATTTCATTTTCCAGGTAAAAATGTTAATTCGTTTAATTCAAAATCTTTACTTCCTCGTCCATATTGGAAAAAAGGAGGTATTCATTATTAATACGATTAATGTAAATTTCTTCATTGAAAAATAAAAAAAAATATTATAAAATTACGGTTCATTTTTATACTTTTATTTTTTAACGTATTCAACTTATTCCTTATAAATTAAATATAATTTTTCCAACGAATTAATCACGACGAAAGAAAGAAAGAAAAAATATTTCAAATTAAAATTTTATATGGTAATTATTCTAAATAATCTACAGAAAACAAACAAACTCGGTGTAATATAATCAACAATAATTGTGATGAACATAAAAGTATTATTACTCAACATAAAAAAAATTTAAAACAATGACTAAGAAATCACACACGAAACAACAAATAATTACATGGAAATCAGTACTGTAAACATCCTTATTATCATCATTTTCGCAAGAATTTTCAACATTAACCGTAGAACGATCTAAAAGTGCTTCTAATTCTTCGTCGCTTAAAACTGAAAATACCAAAAAAAAAAAAGGTTTTGTCACGTGATGAAATTTAATAATACCTTATAAATAAACCTTTTACTCACCGAATCCGTTTGCATTAATCGTTATGTCGTGATTAATTGATTCTAATAAATGTTTCAATTCTTTAAAATCCATCAAATTTAATTTTTTCGAATTTTTCGAACCGAGAGTGAATTTTCCTTTTTGTAAAATCATTTTTTCCAAACGTCTTTTCGCATTAGCCCTTTCTATTATTTTTTCATCGATTGTTCCTTTGACGCAAAGTCTGTATATCATAACAGGTTTTGATTGTCCTATTCTGTGACATCTATCTTGGGATTGTAAATTAATTGTTGGATTCTATTCGACATGATGAATAAATAATTTGAGAAAAATATTAACTTTTATGTGGAAAAAAAAAATGTTTGGTTTTTACCCAATCGCTATCGTAAAAAATAACAGTGTCAGCAGCCGTCAAATTAATTCCTAAACCACCGGATCTCATTGTTATTAAAAAAACAAATATTTCAGGATTATCCATAAATTTTTGTATTTCTTCATTACGTTTTGGAATATTTAAATCTCCATCTAATCTACTATATTGATAATCACGAAGCAAGACGTAATCTTCGAGTATATCGAGTACGACTTTGAAAAATGAAAAAATTATAACCTTCAAAAAAAAAAAAAAAATGAATGAATCCACGCCGATATTACACAATAAAAAAAAATTTTTGAATTTTTTTTTTTTTTGCAAGTTTAAAAAAAAAAAAATTTTTTTAACCTTGTGTCCTCGTGATTTCAATTTTGAAAGTAAAGCATCTAAAACTAACATTTTTCCAGATTCTTTAACTAAATCTTCATCGATTCTTAATTCTTCGGTTCCCTCTTTTAACGGATATTGTATCAAAAATGGATGATTGACGACTTTTCGAAGATTCATTTGAGGATTTTGTAAAACTAAATTGGTTATAAATCTTTCTTCTTCTGCTTTTCCCTTTTCGATCGTTGGTTTACTTTCAACGGGTTCTTCATATTTCGATTTTTTATTTCTTAAAATTAACAATTTTATTTAATAAAAAAAAAAAGAAAAACTTTTAAATTTATTTAAAAAAAAAAAAAGTTAGTACCCGTAAGGACTTTGTAAAAAACATTTACGTTTTCCTAATGTTGTTATTTCATTTTTATTTTCCTTCGGTTTAATTAAAATTTCGATACTTTTATCTAAAATACCTTGGTATAATTTTTTTTGACTAGGTGTCATCGGACAATAAATGAGTATTTCTTTTTTCGGTGGTAATTTTAAATTAACATCTTTTTTTTCCCGACGAAGTAAAAATGGTACTAATATCTAAAAACAAATTAAACTCTATAAACTTTGCTCATTTCAAAAAAAAAAAAAAAAAAGAAAAATCAAAGGAAAACCTCTTGAAGAATCGAAACGACATCTATATTGAACTTCTCGGACATAAATTTTGTTCCGTTGGATTCTAATTCTTTAATATCAAACCAAGATTCAAAAACTTCTAAAGTGTTAAAAACTTCAGGTAATAAAAAATTTAACAACGACCACAACTCTGTGAGATTATTTTGCAAAGGAGTTCCTGTTAAAAGAAGTCTACCGACCGTATTAAATTTTCTCAATATTCTAAAACAATAAATTTTTTTTTTTAAATTACGTAAATTTAATAAATAAATACCTGAAAATGTTTTAAATTATTACCTGGATAATAAAGAATTATGATTTTTTATTCTATGACCTTCATCTATAATTAAATAATACCAATTTATTTTACCCAAGACAGCTGTATCTCTCATGGGTACATTGTAAGATGTGATTACAACAGGATGAATTAATTTTTTCATAACTAAAGTTGTTTTTAATATATCAGGTAACATGGCTTTTCTTTCTTCTTCATTTCCATGATATAATAAAGTAGGAACCTAATATAAAATACAATAATATTATTTTTATTTTTATGAATAAAATTTACTCATTTACTAATAAAAAAAAATTACTTTGGGTGCAAATCTTTTGAATTCCATCATCCAATTGCTAACTGTTGACAGTGGAGCAACAACTAAAAAAGGACCCTTGATATCTTGTTCTATCATGTGACAAATAAATGCAATGACTTGTATAGTTTTCCCCATTCCCATTTCATCAGCCAATATTCCATTAACTCCATTCGTAAATAATATTTTGAGCCATTCACAGCCTTTCAATTGATAATCTTTCATAATGCCTCCTAATCATTAAAAAATAAATTTTTAAATTAAAAAAAAAAAAATGTTTCCTTAAATACCTTAAATAAATCTTAATGTACATACCTTCGAGCAGTAATGGTTGTTTGTAAGAAACGGTATATCCTAATCTGGTAACTCTAGTTTCTTTGAAATAATCTTCTTCATCGATTTGAACCTGAGGTTTAGTTTCATTACTGACTGTATTTTCATCAATGCTCTAAATGTAAAATTAAACATGTGACAAAATCAAAAGTAATAATAAATATAAGTAAAAAATTAGTAATTTATTACCTCTTGAGAAATAACATCCCCTAATTTACAAGATTCTAAAGAATTTGTTTTTTTATTTGTAGCATTTGATTTTTTTCTTCCCGCTTTAACTTTGCTGTAACATGGATTTAAAATTAATTATTTGATAAAATTTATGTTCATTTTTTTTTTTATATGCTTTACATGAAATCGTTAAAATGATTAAAAAGTTTTAAAAATTAACAAGATTAGAAGAATTATAAAGTTATAAAAGTAAAATTAAAAAAATACTTGTTTTTCATTTCACTTTCCAATCTATCTTTCAATATCATCGAATATGTTTGACTATTATTTAACAAATGTAATAATTGTTTGTATCTTCTTTCTTTAATTTCTTGTTCCCTGGCCAACAACCAATCTTCTTCAGTGATAAAATCACATGTTTCACTTAAAATTCCTTCTGAATCATTTACAAAATTCATATCTTGTTCAATTTTTTCATTTTCTGCAATTAATTTAGCTTCCTCTTCAATCATTTTTGAATTAACAGGCAATTCATCAAGTGAAGCACTAATATTACTACAACTACTCGTTTCATCGCAATAGAAATCACCATTTACAGAATCGCTCATCATTTTTATTTAGGAATCAAAAAGTGAAACTAATAATAATAATAATAAATAATATGTAGTTCGTTACAAAAAGGAAATAATTATATTACTTATACAAATTTAATAATGATAATTATCACTTACTTTCAATTTAGAATAAAGTATTTATTTTCTCGTTTGATAAAAACAAAAACCATGGTACGATTGAAAATAATTATAACAACATTTTAAGTCATGTCACATAAGCCTCTGTCAAAATAATATCGCGCCAAAACTTAATAAACTGTAAATAAGACCCCTGGCGGTAAAAAATCGAAACTTTTTTTTAATTTAATGTCCGTTTAGAAAATAATTTTTTTAAACCTGAATTTTTATTTGTTCCACCATTTAAAAAATAAATATGTATAAAAAGGAAAATAAAGTAATGTGTCAAATAAATATAAATAAAAATAAAAAAGATTTTTAAAATTAAATTTTATTATAGTAATAACTTATATATATTTTTTTTAAAAATAAACTTATTACAAATAATATTAAAATTTTTAACGACAAATTAAAATTGTTACTTTTTAAACTGAAATTAATGAATTATGATTATAAAATTTGAATTTTTGCGTTCACGCGGCTCACTAATAAAAAAAAAATTCAACAACGAAATTCTTCACCATCACCCCCAAAATAATATATTATTTATTTTTTAATAATAATAATATTAAAGCTTTGATTTTGTGCCCATAATTGTTCTTAATTTATCCGCTAACATAATATTTCCAGTAACTTTTAGCTTTCCTTTGAGAAAAGCAGTCTGTGGATTTAACTTTCCAACAAACTAAAAAAAAAAAAAGACATTATTTATTATTACATATAAGAGCCTTTATATTGATGTTTAAAAGGTGGACGTGATACTCACCAAATCAGCCATGTCATCGTCAGATATAGTAATTGTTGTATCAGCTTTCACTCCTTCTGGAAGCGTGTTATACACTTTTAAGTTTTTCAAATCGACAGCTAAAATATAATTCAATGATTGGTTATTAAAATTATTATTATCATTAGAATAAAAATGTCTTTACATATACATATATATATATATACAATTTCTTAAAGACACTACTTACTCCAATCGGCAACATTTTTTCCATCTTTTGTGATTTTATATGCAAATACAGCATTTATACGTTTTGCTGCTTCCGAATCTTCTTTTATCATTTTTGATATTTCTTCAAAAATTTTTGGAGTTTTTAATGTTTCAGCAGAAACATTATTTGCAGAAGGTTCCATCGCACTAACAGTGTTAAAACTTATCAAATTTGTAGGAATGCTGTGAAGATCTACATAGCCACCTAAAATATTATAATAATAATAATTAACGTTTTTATACAATTTTTTTAAACAATTATTTATTTATTTCAAATAATTATTCGTTAATTTATTTTATTTAATTCGAACTAAAAAAAAACTCCATCATGTAAACCTCTAAACCACATTTTATAATAATAATGACTTTAAAATAAATAAGGCTACCTTTTAATTTACTGCAAGAATCCAACATGAAAATAATTCTTTCGTTTTTATTTAAAATATTCGTCATTTTTCTGACGATATGAAAATCAAACGATCAAAAATGATATTCAAGATTTTACATTAATGATGTATTCAGTTGTAAAATTATTCCACTATCAAGGACACTTTTTTTTTTTTTTTTTTTTTCGATAATGATAATTACTATCAACAATGATTTGCAAATATAAAGTGATCGTTGCCAACATTAAATAATCGAAAACTAAATAACATTTTATTATTTAATTTGTTTTTTTTTTTTTTTTAAATGTCATTTTGTCTACGAAAGCCTAATCTAATCCTTATCAGTGTAAAGTTCACAGATTCCAAAATAATAAAAAAGTCATAGAGTATTAAAACTCACCAGAGAGAGCAACGCTGTCGTTTTCAATAACTTTCGTTTGAAAATGAATTCTATTTCCTTCTCTCCACATATCTGTTTGTAATGTTTGCCCAGGCAAAACGGGTTTTGCAAAGCGAGCCTATAAAATACCGTTACAAAAAAAAAAAAAAAATTTACAATTTATTTGGTATTTATTAGTAAAAAAAATTAAAAAACTTGCCTTGACCGCTTTAAGAAGGTTTCCATCGTTATTTGCGTATCGTCTTAGTACGTGTCGTACGGAAAATCCAAAAGAAGCCAAACCGTGAAGAATGGGTGATTGAAAACCACTTATTTTAGCCAAGTTTGAATCGATGTGAAGAGGATTTAAATCACCAGAGAGCCTATACAAAGCTGCTTGATCTAAATCAGTTTTTTCTCTTACAAAAGCATCCGGTTTCCTAACACAAATTGTTAATAATTCAAATTTAACATTTTAACTGTAAACTATGTCACTGTTAAAATTTATCTGAAATATAGAGAAACTAATAACCTTTTAGGAATTTCAACAGTAGGTATTGACTTGGTTGAGTTACGAGGGCCACCGAACCCGCCTCCACCAACTACAAAGACTCCCATTTGTGAAAATGCTACTTTTTCGCCACTTTCATCGAATGTTTCGACTGTAAATTATTGAAATTAATTAATTTTTCTTACAATAATAAATAAAAATGTAAACAAAAAGTTGATTTTAAAGCAGCTCTCACAATTAACAATTAAAAGTGCTCCTTTTCCTTTGTCTAAAACATCTACAACTCTGCATCTTGATTCTAAACATCCAGAAGAAGAAATAGGTTTAAATATTTCAAGGTATTGCTCACCGTGAAGTATCTATAAAATACGTTCATTAAGAATTCAATAATAAAATTATAATCCTGACATAGCCATTTTAGTAGATAATACCTGAGAGAGTTCAACAGTTTTACCGGGTATTTTTAAAAGATCGGTTCCGTGAGTCATAAAAGCTATTTGACCTGGAATTATTAAAAATGATGGCAAAGCACCAAATTCTTCATGATTTTCATACAAATACCTTAAATCTTCTGGTCTTTGAACCTAGACAAAAATTATTTTTATGTTTTATTAATAAAATTTTAATTTACAAACATGTAAATTAAAAAGACAAATTATACAATAATTTTTAAAACTCACAGAACATCCAACTCCTAAAGCATATAAAATTAGTTCTTTCGGTGTGTATTTAAAATATCCTGCTACATGACCACAGCCAGCTTCAGTATTTTCTTTTTGTAATTCCAAAGCTGACATTAAAGACAATGATGCTTCCTTAAAAAAAAAAAAAAAACCAGGAATAAGTTTATAAATTATACATTAATATTACATCAATAAATTATTAATAAAAGATTACTTGAATATTTTTCATCTGTTTAGCATTAGACATGTCTGTTATAGATGACCAATTATCTCTAACATTTTCAATAGTAACTGGATCTCCTATGTTGGTTCTGAGTAAACTTCCTCTGGATTTAACAATAATACACTGACCAGCCCATCCAGCAGCAGAATCTATTATACATCCATTTGCCTCACAAGACTCGTGACACAAAAAGGCTACGACAGGAGCTATTAATTCTGGCTTAAGTTCAGCAAAAAAATCTATTGAAATGTAATGAATAATAAAAGTAAAGTTTTTTCAAATAACAATTAATTTAAATAAAATTATTTTTGAAATACTACCTGGAGGTAAAATATCTTCTGTTAACCTAGAAGCTGCTGTTGGTACGATAACATTACACTTAATATTGTTTTTCCCCCCTTCAATAGCAAGAGTGTTATTCAAACCGATAAGACCCATTTTAGCTGCACTATAATTGGCTTGACCAAAATTTCCATAAATTCCACTATTGGATGCAGTCATTACAACTCTTCCATAGTTTTGCTTCTTAAAGTATGGCCAAGCAGCTTGAGTAGTTTTAAAAGATCCTTTTAAATGGACTTGATGAATAAGATCTGTGAAATATATTTATTGTAAATAGGTAAATAATTTAATAAAATATAAAATTTCAAATAATAATACTTAGAAATTTTACCCCAATCATTATCAGATATTTTAGCAAATGATTTGTCTCTCAAAATTCCTGCATTATTAATTACTATATCAACTCTTCCAAAATTATCAATGGCTGTTTTGATTATTTTTTCACCATTTTCAACTGAATCATAGTTAGCTACAGCTTTTCCACTGCTGCTCTAATTTCATTGACAACAACATCAGCAGCTTTGCTACTGCTTCCGTCTCCATGTCGACTTCCTCCCAAATCATTTACCACAACGGAAGCTCCTCTTGAAGCAAGTAGTAAAGCATAAGCACGTCCAAGTCCTGACATAAATTTTAAATAATTATAATTATTATGTAACAAAATGTATTGAAAAACATTATAGCAATTAGTTAATAATTAAATATTATTAAAATTACATTGAATACAATTTTTTTTTAAAACGTAGAAAATGTTTTAAACTAAATTATTTAAGAAGCCAAATGTCACAAAACAATTTTGAAAAACGTTATAAAAATTGTGACTTAGCAAAAAATTTTACATGGATACAAAAATGTCTATTAAAATGACCTATGAACCTTAAGAAAAGGAAATTAGTATAACTAAATTTAAGGTCTGATTTGAAAAAAAGACCATCCGTAAGAGAATTATAAAATAAATCTTACCGGCGCCTGCACCAGTTACAACTGCTACTCTCCCGTCAAACCTCAATTCTTCGGGCATTTTGAAAATTTGAAAATAAACTTCGTGCAATGAAATTCTTATATAATTAACAATAGTAAC